CCTAATCTAAATAAAGAGATAAAAAATTGAAGATTAAATATCTTAGGGACACTTTGTATAAGCCCCGCATAAATTAATAAGCCATCTTCTGTAACTCGCAAGTTAATTAACGATGTTTCTAATAGCAAGAAATAGCGCAAGTAATGCAGTATGACATACAAGGCGAGCGGATTATTTTCGCTCATCCAAATAAATTGCCGTCTCATATCGAATACTCTAGAAAAGTTGGTGTCGAACAGATGACGGTTGACAACGAACTTGAGTTGACGAAAATTAAGGAATTATTCCCAGAAGCAAAGTAAGTGTGAGACTAACAGTAACAAATAAATTTTCGACTAAGTAAGACAAGCGCGCTAGTTAAAGTTAGACGTTAAAATAATATTGTATATTTCTATATATACGTATATATTTTAAATATAGTTTTTGGAAATATGATTATTTTCATGATGCTGCTATACGAAAATGTTTATATCTTAGAAACGGTTAAACATTGACTTTATAGTTAAAAAAAACCGTTTTTTCCACACTTTTTACTATAGAAAAAAACAGGAATAAAATTTTGTTCTTGGAAAAATTATTATTTTTGCTATCTAATAACATACCACTTAATTTTCAGTGTCTTTTATCAAATTAATGTGATCCAGAAAATTATGTAATCTTATTTTTATTAAAATTAAAAAAAAATAAAGACATAAAATCTCTTAAAAATGTTTTAAGATATCTTATGTCATGATTTTGGACATGCTCGTTGTTTAGACTTTTTGAATCAAATTTGCCCTTACTAGATCAAAGTTACTCTATTTCATAATATAATATAATATACTTACATATTATCATAATATATTATATCATATATAATAATGTAATATCATATTATACATATAATTCTTTTCTTTGTTTCACTTTTTGATGATTTATAATTGCTCTACGGCTGCACAGGATAGTGATACGCATACGATGCGACTCGAAAAACTCGCCGGTGTTGTTGGGAGCGAAATTCGGTTGCGATCCATGTGAGGAGGCTGTGTATTTGATACAACGCGCGCGAGATCTCGGCTTAAACTTATACGGCTTTAGCTTTCACGTTGGTACTCCATGTTTGGAGATGAACGCTTACCTCAGAGGCATCGAAACATGCAAACAGTTAATTGCAGTTGCTAAATCAATCGGATGCAACAATGTAAAGTTGATTGACATCGGCGGTGGATTCTTGAGCATCTGCGGAGAGGAACTTGACGAGGTACGTAAAAATGAAAATTTTTTTATTTACTCAAACTTTCTTGAATCTTTTGCTCTTTTCTGTTTTTATTGTTCTAAATTTTTCGACGATAGTGTAGATTAAGTAATATAAAATAATATATAATTTAATATATCAGATATCTCATCATTATTACTTTATTATTTTTTTACTGTACTGTATAGTCTTCAA